TAACTGAAGATTTTTAGAGATTGTTTTCTTTATTTTTATCTTAATAATAATTGAAGAGATAGTTTTGTTATATTTTTAATTCTCTTTGTTACTTATCTAAATATATTTTTAAACTTGTTATTTACCTAATATTTTTTTTTATAAGTGATATTCAACTAATTAACCATAAAAAAAAAACTAATATTGACCGTTTTTAAGAGCATGTGAAATGAGTGGATTTAATTGAATGAAACTGAAATATGTAAGAAAAAAAAATGTCGAATCATGTGACAACACGTTTCTAGCTAGATCCCCTAACTAACCCTCCTACCTTACCATCTAATATTTATTTTTATTAAAAAATCATTGAGATATAGGCTCCACTAAGTTTTACAAAAGTAGTATGAAAACACTCATTTGTCACGTTAATCCAAAATCAAAAACCGACAAAAAAAAAATCCGAAATCAAAAACATAGAAAGTGTAGGGACCATCTGGAAAGATGAAAAAAGTGTAGGGACCATCTGTACGATGAAAAAAACTACGGAAAGAGATATAAATTCAAGACTCCACAACTCTGTCTCCAAACCAATTATTTCTATCGCCAAGGACATTCATTATATTCAACTACTAGTACGAGCAAAAGCTGTTAGTGTCTTGATCGAGAGTTTTAACACAGGGCTCGAATTTTTTTTTTTTTTTAAGACATGGCTTTTTTTATTGTTTGGTATATAAACACCCATAAAAAAATAAAAAAAAATAGCACCGTGTGTTAGAACTCTTTTTTGACAAAATGGTTTACAACCGTTTTTCGGTGAAATTTCTGGTAGAGATGTTCATCAAATTAAGGCACGATTGAATCGTCGCAATAAACACTTTTAACYTACTGTAATCACAAGTCAAAATAGAAGTTGATTTGAATGCGAAATGTTMGTTCAAAGTCGACGACTTGGAAAGTTTGTAATGCTCGATAATCTGGCTATGTGTAAAAACTAATACACATCCCACGTTAGATACATGAGATGAAAATCTTCTTGTATGTAAATGGAGAAATCATAATTCAAAATCTTATAAAGAAAAYATATATCRAARCAAATGTGTGCTTGCACCGAACCAAATTGAATCAAAACGAATTTGAAAARYGTTTTAGATATGGAATTGAAAATTAATTTGAAATTTGGTAAATGGATTGTAAACCTGATACCCTATTTAATTTTGGGCCAAACTCAAATCAAATTAGTGATTAATTATTAATTTAATAATTATGAAATCACAAATATCTTTCCTATTAAAACAAGAAACTTATGTTGTTGACAAAATTCATTTTGTCTTATTTGCATGARTATCTCATTCAACATGAGTTATTGTGATTCTAAGATCATCAACATATACTAGAATGTACAGAGCATGACCACCGCTCAAAAAGAGAGAGAGAAAGTTGACTGAAAACCAAGCTCAGAGAGTTCTTTCAAAGCAGCAAGAGTAGTCATGAATAATTCTTCCTTCTTTTTTTTTTAAGATCTACTGAATAAAGGCGAACGGGGCTCCCAAGGCGGGATGTCTGGCAGAATGCTTGGCCTCCTGCGCTGGAAGCGAGACCCGAAGGGTGAGCTTCTGTCAGTTAGCTTCTAGAACTTATAATAGGCATTAGGCATTCTGAGRTGGAAGGAGGCAAGCAAAAGGCCGATAGTCAATCATGCTATCCTTACCTTCCAACCAATCGGCCAAGATTACGTTCAATTCAGGATCGAATACATCTTTGGCTTATGAGGGTGCTTTACTTGACTCCTCTTAATTAAGAACAATGACTTTTAGTCTATTTTTTTCCACCGGTTCGATCCATTAGGTTCTTCAATTTGTTCAGAAAAGAAACAAGAAACAAGAAAACATCACTTTCATTTGGCTTATTCGATACTGCTGAAAGGAACGAACCTGACCTGACCGAGGAACGCCAATTACTGCTTTAGGGCGGAAATTGACTTTCATTCAAAAGGGYAAAATGAAATGGAAATAGATTAGATAGCTTAGACAGCCGGTCYAAGGTCTTTCYCAGTCAATCTCTTTGTACTAGAACCAGAAACGGCTTACCGGCTCTCCTAAGCRGCAAAGCATCTGGAAAGCCTCATGGGTGGCCRGAAAGAAACTTGGCTTCGCCAAAAGGCCTCATCTCTGGAAGCCCGGCTCGCAAGGCGTCCATTCGGCTACACTTCTTGACTTCATGAATTTACATATTGAAGGTCATATCCCTCACGACATAAGATTAAAAGATCCAAACCTTCCTCTTCGGAGCAGAAACGGACGGTGTGCTCAATTGATTTGCTAGGGAAGRCCATTGGTGCGCTAAAGATGGATCACTGGAACTTGAATTAAGACTATTTTCATCAAATAAAAAGATTCGTCGCATATTGGATTAATTGATTTTAACAAAATGATTCCCTCCAGACAGCGGTAGCAGCTACTTCTTCTGCTTCTTCGGTTGTTGCCGCCTAATTAGCTACGATCAATGAAAATCTCTACAGACGCTACYGAATTACCGAGCAGGAGCAACAATAATCGAACTAGATTTTTCATAAATTGGTTTTCCTGGTTCACTAAAAGCCGASAATGAAAGAAGAAATAGGGCTTTGCCCGCCGYCGTTCCTCGGGGCAAGAAGTTTCAAGCTTGAAGGCAAGTGCCGTTATCCCGCCTTCATCGTCTTTGTTGGTGTGTAGAGTAGACGGTGTTTGAAATAACCCTTTTTTGCAAGCGACTGCCCAGAAAGAGTCCATTTTTACACCGAAYTAACGAAACRACCCAGAAACAAACGAACCTCTGCTCGCTCCGACGATTCTACATACCGGRCGAAAGAGACTGAGCCGGGGCGAAGTGCTAAGCTTGAAGAAAGCCTATAAAAACATATTGAGATAATACTACCGACTTACATTAGGATAATGATATACTTCCCAGTTTCTCTATAGTTGGCTTTATCCTATTTCCTATATAC